ATGGGACATCTGACCAAGTTCCAGAAAACCCTGGGATAGTGGTCACCCTGTCTCCCTCGACCACCTGTTACTTTTCTCCTTAAAAGTAGGTTGAGTTTTCCCCTGTGGGGAGCTTGTTCTGTGTCTGTCCAACTGGAAAGAAACTTCTTTGGAATTCCCTCTTGGATTTCTTGCTCGCTATCTTGGATTGACGGCCTCTCGGTCAGTTCTTCCCTTCGAGGGAAATATTCTACTCAATCAGAGCCTTTTGAAGATATTTCCTCAGACGCTGGTTTCTCCTCGGAGAATCTCAGCTGAAAGTGGTCACAAAGTCACTCGCTCCCAAACTTCATAAAGTTGAGCAGATTGTCCTAAACTGGCACATATTGAAAAGTCATGTGACAGTGGGGTTCCATGCTGATCGACATCCTGGATGACCAATGGCAGGAATCTGGAGGGAGGGGGAAGGGGCAGGTAGGAGGTTACCCACCTTCATTTCCCAGAAAACGTTCAACACCGGGTTTTTGGAGGTTGAACTGAAAAGGCATCATCGAGGGACAAAGGTGTTGACAGCAAAATCTTTGTGAGGACTGCCTTGGTGAGCCAGGGGGTGGTGGAGGCCTGTATGAGAGGCCGAAAACCTCTCAAACTTTTAAAAAGTACAGGGATGAGCAATTGAAGCTTCAAGGCCATGGGACTAGTGCTGGGAAGTGGGATTAGTGTAGATAGGCTGGCACAAACTCAATGGGCTAACAGGCCTCTTCTGCGCTGCATCACTCCATGGTGTTGAGGGGGTGCTAGGTACAAGTCTGCAGTGCGCGCTGTGACCATGTGGTGGGACTTTAAAGGAGGGAGGTTAAAATTTCACACGCTTTCTCATCCCCACCCTGCTCCAATTCACATTCAAAAAGGGGAAAGGTGAAAACCAAGATCATCAAACTGTTTTTTTTCGGAAACTGAGAGGGTGTTTAATGCAGAGTATGGGCTGCCCCAGTAAAACTAGGACACCTCCTCGCCCATTGCAAGTCAGTTCTCCAGCCCAGTCCCACCCGAGTTAAAATTAGGTCTGTGTATTTCTATCTGTCCGTCCCAGAGGTGACTCCACCTGGTGGCAGAGATGGGAACTGGTGACTGTGAAGGGCAGGCAAGGATAACGTTTGAATCAGAGATAGTAGGAACTGCCGATGCTGGAGAATCCGAGACAACAAGGTGCAGAGCTGGATGAACACAGCAGGCCAAGCAGCACCATAGGAGCAGGAAGGCTGATGTTTCGGGCCTAGACCCTTCTTCAGAAATCAGAAATGTGTTCATCCAGCTCTGCACCTTGTTATCTCAGGTGCTTTAAAAGGCCTTGTGAAGGCTTTACATTGCAGTAGAAATGTTTATGAGGTGGCACTATATCTTGTCACTGCAGTCAGGCAATGGATTGAATTTGTTATACATCCCCAGTTCCTCACATCATGTAATATATACAGGCCATTCAATCCCACCAGCTTGTAACTATCACATACATTGGGCTCCTTTCTATGTATTCTTGATCTAAACAGCAATGTGACCCTTTATTTCCCTTTTTCTCTGTTACTTATCCTAACTATGTCTATTGCTTTCACCTCAGCCCCTCCCCATGGCAGTGCGTTCCAAATTTTCACTGCACCCCAGGTCAAACAGCTTCTCTTGAGTTCACAGTCTGATAGCTTGGTGACCATCTTACACTGAACTGCTACGGTGCAGAAGGAGGCCATTTAGCCCATTGTGCTTGCAGCAGCCCTTCAAATGAGCACTATTACCCAGCGCCAATCTCCGGCTTGTTCCCCATACCCTTGTATTCTATTCCCATCCAAAGAACCATGCAGTTCCCTCTCCAATGCCACAATGGAACCTGCCTCCACCACATTTCCAGGCAGTGGGGAGCATTCCAGACCTTGACTACTCTCACTGGGTGAGAGAGGACTTTCTCATATCACCCCGGATTCATTTGAATACTATGGTGTGCTGTCATCACTGGCTTCTTGGGGAGGGTCTGCAGGTTAGAGCAAGAGACAGAGACAGAGAGAAAGGGAAAGAGACAGAGAGAAAGAAAGAGGCAGAGAGAGAGAACAGATTTGCTCAGTTCACTGTAGCTCACCCCTTTCTGATGCACGCTCTGATACAAAGCAGGGATGCACATGTCACAACAACAGGCACCAGCTGGCCTGTTGATTGAGAAACTTCACAATGTTACAGGGACCGCGTTGATGTTCTGTAGATTGTGAAACACACCCACCATGTAGAACGAGGTTTCTCAAGATGATGAGAGGCATAGACAGAATGGATAGCCAGAGACTTTTTCCCAGGGCGGAACTGACTATTACGAAGGGGTGTAATTTTAAGGTGATTGGAGGAAGGTATAGGGGAGATGTCAGAGGTAGGTTCTTCACACAGAGAGTGGTGAGCGTGTGGAATGCGCTGCCAGCGGTGGTAGTGGAGTCAGATACATTAGGGACATTTAAGCAACTCTTGGATAGGCACATTGTTAGTAGTATAATGTAGGGTATGCAGGGTAGATTGATCTTAGTAGGATAATAGGTCAGCACAACATGGTAGGCCGAAGGGCCCGTACTGTGCTGTACTGTTCTATGTTCTATGTTCAAAGGTGGGATCAGGACCTGAGAGAGGGTCCAAGCTCTGAGGCAGCCAGACTGAGCTCTAACAGCTGTCCTCCACACCTCGTGCTTACTGAGGGGGCTGTGACAATTGTCAAACCTCGAGATGGGGTGAGATTGCCACATGGTTTGGGATGCCCCAATGATTTACCTGGAGAGGTCCTGGGAGATAAAGAGGGCGATGATCCGAACGCCATACCCTGTGTCCAACGTGTGACCCAGCACAAAAACTGCTGACTCATTTTACACCACTCCTAAACGTGGACAGACTGAAGGTGTTCTCCCTCGAGCAGAGGACACTGAGGTGGGGCGGGGGGGAGGTTCATCACTGAGATGTGTAAAATTATGAGGGGCATAGATAAGGTGGACAGGAAGAAACCTTTCCCCTTGATGGAGGGATCAATGACCAGGGGGAATAGATTTAAGGCAAGGGGCAGGGGAGATGTGGGAATCTGGAACTCACTGCCTGTGAGCCTGGTAGAGGCAGAAACCCTGATAACATTGGGGAAAACCCTCAAAACATCGAGGAAGTATTTCAATGTGCAATGCCAAGACGTACGAGGCTATGGCCCACATGCTGGAAAATGGAAGGAGAATAGTTGGGTGGTTGTTTCTGAGCTGCACAGACTTGATGTGCTGAAGGGCCTTTACCTCTGCTGGAGACCTCTATAATCTTCCGGAGTCACTGTTGGTGTTCTCCACAAGCTCCTGAGATACCTGCAGACATTGTGGTTGGACAAGCAGCACTGTACTTGGGGAGTGAGTAACACAGAGCAACACACAGCCACAGCAAGGCCCACAAGCGAGCTGCAAAAAGCCAACTGTGGCTCTAAATAAGGCACGTCACTGTCCGAGGAATTGGTAGGTGAATATCTGGATAGCGAGCAAGAGGTAATCAACTGATGTGCCTTGGAAAGGCAAGGCCTGACGACCCACACTGGTGGAGTGAGGGAGGCCTGGAAACTTCAATGGTGTGCCAGGCATATGCTGGGTGCATGCCAGGGCTGGCAGAGGAGGAGCCGGTGCCAGTCAAATGCTGAACACTTTAGCTACCCAGGAAGGAAGCTGGAGGTCGGAGTCAGCTGTCTGTAGGACCTTAATGCGGAATTCAGCTTGAAAACTGCCTCATTGTACAATCCTGTGGGAATATAACCGACTGTGCCAGAAAGATTTGTCAGATACTTTAGAGACTTTTAAACAACTCTTGGATAGGCACATGGAGGATAGTAAAATGTAGGGTATGCAGGGTAGTTTGATCTTAGTAGGATAATAGGTCGGCACAACATGGTGGGCCGAAGGGCCTGTACTGTGCTGTACTGTTCTACGTTCTACGTAAGGAGCTGGGTGGAAGTGGCTCCAGAGAGAGGTACAACCTGGGCCTGGGTGTTAAGACTGTTCTGTGGCTACAGCTGGATGAATGGCAGCCTCTGGGTCACTTAGTGACCCCAGACTCCTTCACACTTCCTCCTCAGGTTTGATTTTTAAATTGTCTTCTTAATGGAGGATGTGGGTGCCGCTGGCTAGGCCCAGCATTTATTGGCCGTCCCTAGTTTCCCCCCTAGAGAAGGTGGTGGTGAGCTGCCTTCTTGAACCGCTGCAGCCCATGTACTGTAGGTAGACCCACGATGTCCTGAGGGAGTGAATTCCAGGATTTTGACCCAATGACATGGAAGAAACGACGATATATTTCCCAGTCCGAATAGTGAGTGGGTCAAAGGGGAGCTTGAAGGGGGCATTGTTCCCATGTTTCTGCTGCCCTTGTCCTTCCACAAGGAAAAACCAGTAGATCTTGAGAATGGTGCAGTGCTGGTCCACCTTGTTTCTAGACCTCAGAAAAGTGCTCCAGTACGTTCATTTCCAAGTATTACTGTTTTGTTTTCCCCACTACTGGATGGAAATGGTTGTAGGTTTGGATAATACCCGACCCCCTATGACAACTTTACCTACTCGGCTCAACGTCACAGCCCCATTTCAATAAGTGAGGCCTTGAACAGGGACTCTGTGACTCTGCTTGGAGGCTATAGCTTCCACTGAACTAGGCCCAACACGGAAACCTTGCCTCGGCCTCAGGCTTGCACACGAGGTAATCGCTATGGCAACATATACTGCCCGCTTGAGGGGAACACAGTCAACATCTCTGAGTGAGAGTTTGTGGACGTGTCAATGAAAAGTTAATAACAACCTAATAAACTGGGGGTCAGTTAGCTCAGTTGGCTTACAAGGTTGGTTTGCAAGACAGAGTGATGCCAACAGTATGGGGTTGACCAGCTGAGGTAACCATGCAGGACTCTCCTCCACCTCTCCCTCACCCAAGGCATGGTGACCCTCAGGTTGAATCACCACCAGTCGTCTCTCTGTAATGAGAGAGCAGCCCTGTGGTTTGGTAAGACTATAGTGACTTTATTATGTCTTGGCTACTTATCTCTGGGAGTATATATCAGCTGGACACGCAACATTGACATTGTTTCACAAATGTGCCAGATTCTAAAGTTTTTTTTAAAATCAGGAAAGAAAATCCGAACAAAGTTAGTCTATACAAAGCATTTCAGACATCCCAGGGTATTAATTTTGTAAACATAATCCTTTAAGAGCAATTGCTCAAGATTCTGTGCTGCACAACATGTGCCAGAAAATCAAAAAAAATTCACTTATTTTTAAATATGCAAATATTAAATAAGCTTAATTTACACAAATAAGTTTGCATAAGAAGCCAAATAAAGGCACATTTAACTTTATCAAGGTGCAATTAGCCTATCCTTGCATCTAAACAAATAAGAGACCAACACAAGGCTACTTTGGTGGAAGATACAGCCGAGGCTAAATCTGGAATCAAAGTATTCCATATCCAGAGTGGTTTTTGTTTGATCTTTGGAAAAGTATCCCAAAACTCCTCGGCGATAGACATTGGAAAAAGTCATCTTGCATTGGTCCCTCACCAATATCCATTAGGGACCTGGTGACCTTCCGTTTCTCATTGTCTCTTCAACACAATCTCTGATGCTCATCAAAGTAGCTGAAATTGTGAATGTGACTCCTTCCCCAACCCATCCCACAATCCCCACGCCCTGGCCACTTCCTGTAAAATCCCTGCCCATTCCCTTCCCCCGCCCACCCCCTCCCCTTCTGAAGCAATTACTGTTTTCAAACCTTGGAAAGACTTTGTACTGACAGGACTTCATCAGCAGCTGCCCTGAAATGGTGTTACTGATGGGGCCTGCTGTTAAACGTGCCTTCGCAGAAGTGAAAAAGAAATTGTCCCTCCCTCCATCCTCCCCTTTGTGCGTTACAGTACCGCTCTCTGGTAAATGGCCAGAAACAGGAGGCCACTTATCTACACTACAAATGATTCAGTACCCATCAACAATACAATGCATTAAATTAGTACCTTTCAGTCATATGAATCGCTTATAAATATAACCATATTTTCCTTTTTTTGTGATAAAAATGATTCAGGAAGCAGGTGTGGCTTATTTTGGATAAAACAAGCCCTCTTGGTCAGCTCCCCTCTCGTTCACCGTCACTCTGGATTCAAAGTTCACATGGGGGTCATAATAGTCAACTCTTCATCGAAGATCAGGAATAATGCACCAGATGCTTTGTTCCTTCCATCACTAGGCAACTCGATGGCCCATCAGGACCAGGACTGGTCCAGCAAACAGTTCTGAACTGTTCAGATGCTTCTTTGATTGAAGTTTCAATGTTCAAGGTGACGTGGGCTTTTTGGGGTGCTTCACAGAAGCAGAGTGCCTTGTATCAGGGCCAGGGAGGTGGGGAGCGAGGGCACAGATACTTAGCCTCAGTCCAAAGAGAGCCAGGACCGGGCACAGGAAGACATTGGTGCTTGGTGTTCAGATGGGCATGACAGCCCCTTTGTTGCCCGGGAGAAGCCTGGTTGAGAGCTGACTTGTTGCTGTCACAGGGAAAGATAGCATCGGCATTGAACAAAGACCTGCTTGAGCTTATACTTGCACTTCTCCCTGTTCCGAGATCACGGCCACACCACAGTCTTGCTGAACAGCTAAACGGAAAGACTAAATCTGAGACAATTACAGGACGTGTTTGAGAGTGCAGCAGGCCAATAGAGAGAGAGAGAGAGGGCAGGAGGCCCATGGACCTGTGTAATTAAAATGCATATTCAGTGCCAGTTCTGTAGCCAAGACCCTGGAATCGAAGGGAAGTGGTTGCAGACAGTGCAAGTAATTACACTGCACATGTAAACATCATTTAACAGTCATGTAATGTTGAGAAAGCTTGGCAATCACTTAGGGGCTCCTTTGTAGCTACAGTATGCTGACAGGTTGTTATCAGTCACTTTAGCCACCTCATACTTTTGTTCCATCGGCTAAAGGCTTGAGAGGGAAGGGTTCAGCTATGACCGATTGTCTTTGGCTACATTGTGAGCCATCCAATTCACTTTGGTTTTCCAGCTTTCTCGCAGTGCCTCGTCGAATTTCATTTTGAAGTGTTTGAGCGCCTCATCTTCCGTTTTTCCTAATGCTAACGAATCCTGAGAAACAAAAATCCCTGTTAGAAGGTGGAGGTCAGTAACTCAGCATTAATGACAGTGATGAGCATGTTCAATATACATGGCAGTAGTGGGATCCACCACAGAAGATAACACAAAGCACTCGGCTATGGTAGGCTGGGAGCTTCATACAATCCCTGTAGTGAGGCAAAAGGCCATTCAGCCCGAGTCTGCACTGACCCTCCAAAGCGCATCTCAGCCAGACCTACCCCCTACCCTATCCCTGTAACCATCCACTTCCTGTGGCTAACCCACCTACCACTCACTCTGCATATCCCTTGACACTGTGGGGCAATTTCCCACAGCCAATCCACCTACCCTGCACATCTGTGGACTGTGGGAGGAAACCGGAGCACCTGGAGGAAACAACACACACACGTGCGGGGAGAACTGCACACAGACAGTCACCCGAGGGTGGAATTGAACTCAGGTCCCTGGCGTTGTGAGGCAGCAGCGCTAACCACGGAGCTGCCCCTAATCTTCTACTGTAACCCACTGTTCACAGGACAATCAGAATAAAAGGTAAATTCATTGTTATCCTACTCTCTCATTAGAGAGAGATGACTTGTGGTGGTTTAACCTGAAGGTTGCTACACAAGGGGAGAGGTTTAGAAGGACAGTCCTTCACGTGAGAATTGAACCCACACTGTTGGTGTCACCCTGCATCACAAAGCAGCCAAATTAGCTCTAACCAACTGCTAGATCTAGGGCACTAAAAACACAGAGGAGAATCTGTACTTTTAAGATTAAGGAATCTGCCTCCTGCCTCCATTCCTCAAATTAACAAGATCAAACAAGGTAACGTCCTTTCCTGTGAGGCAGTGACTCCCACCCAGGACCTGAAGGTCACAGGAGGTGTGGGAAGGGTTGGGGATACGGGAGAGTGTGGGGGCAGGGAGGGGTTGGGGATACGGGAGAGTGTGGGGGCAGCGAGGGATTGGGGATGGGGGAGAGTGTGGGGGCAGGGAGGGGTTGGGGATGGGGGAGAGAGAGTGTGGGGGCAGGGAGGGGTTGGGGATGCGGGAGAGTGTGGGGGCAGCGAGGGATTGGGGACAGGGGAGAGTGGGGGGGCAGGGAGGTTTGGGGAAACGGGAGAGTGTGGGGACAGGGAGGGGTTGGGGATATGGGAGAGTGTGGGGTAGGGCAGGGGCAGGATCTCACAGTGGCCTGTAAATCCCAGTCAGCCCACCGAAAGGTGGTTTGTCAGTCCCAGCCGTTGCCTCAGGCTTGGAAAGGAGAAAACGAGGCCATGGGAAAATTAGAAAACTCACGGATATTTCACAACAATTGGAACTCAAGAACATCACTCTACAAACTCTTAATCAGTGAGATTTAAACTCTCACTATCTGTATTGTTAAATCAGGCCCTGCACTAACTTTGTAGAGTAAGACTGCAACAACTCGAACTAGATTCCTAACTGATAGTACGTGACTCCCTCCCCACACAAGATAAGGTGACCAAAATAGGCCTATAAGGTAACATCCAATCTGTTCCCATGGACTGGTCATACAGTCTTACAGCACAGAAACAGACCCTTCGGTCCTATTTGTCCGCACTGACCATGTTCCCAAACTCAACTCGTGCCACTTGCAGGTGTTTGGCCCATATCCCTCTAAACCTTCCCTATTCATGTACCTGTCCAAATGTCTTTTAAATGCTATAACTGTACCTGCATCCATCGCTTTGAAAGCGGGTGCAGCCTGGGATATTGCTGATGTCGAAGGAGCAGCCTGTGGCTTACCTTGTGTTTGAGGCAGGTTTTCCTGTGCACCTCATCTTCAGGATTTCCCGATTATATTTCAGCGCCCCCCATCTCACTGCCCACCTACCACTCGATCTCTGTGTTGGAGTTGAGCCGAGTCTAATTGGCTTTGCTCACCTTGAGATACTGGATATCTTTAGAGCAGCTGAGCTCTGGTAGTCCAGCTGCCTGCATCAGTGCAAAGAGGTTAATGAAGAGCGGGCAGTGCTTCCTCAGAATCATGTAGGCTTGTTCACAACACTTCCGGAACCTTCTCAGGACACCAACAGGACAGGAATGGAAACAGAAGGGAAAAATCCAGCTGAATGCCAAGAACTTTAGCATAGACAAACTCAACACATCCAATATAATATAACAAGGTGTAGAGCTGGATGAACACAGCAGGCCAAGCAGCATCAGAGGAGCAGGAAAGCTGACATTTTGGGTCTAGACCCTTCTTCAATAAACACATCCAATCTTGTTTGAAATAATTATTTAAACAGATAAAGCTTAATTTGGACAGTGTCATGCTTTATTGTCAGTACCAAATCATTAATGTTGGAGCTGAATTATTACCTTATTAATATTGAAATTCCTACACAAGAAATAGAATTTGTAAATTGGAAAGGATATCATAAAGCAATTGTTGACCTTAGAATCACAGAGGTTCACAACACAACAACAGGCCCTTCAGCCCACCATGTCTATGCCGACCAACAAACCCTAAACTACACTAAGAGACAGTAGGAACTGCCGATGCTGGAGTCAGAGATAACACAGTGTGGAGCTGGAGGAATATAGCAGGGCAGGCAGCATCAGAGGAGCAGGAGATCTGATGTTTCGGGTCGGGACCCTTCTTCAGAAAACTACAGTAAACCCATTTACCCGCACTTGGTCCATAGCCTACTATGCCCTGATATTTTAAGTACTCATCCAGACGCTTCTTAATAAAGTAAGGAGAGTCCTTCACAGTAACCTCAGCCAGTGCCAGAACTGAACCCATGCTGTTGGCATTGTTAACAAGCCGTCTAGCCAACACTGTGAAGTACAGAGTTAACATTGTCACTGATCTGACATGTTGCTCCCTGAAGGGATTGTCTATTATGATGGAATAATAATCAGGTGGAACTCTTGAGTTGCATTAGTTGGGGATCCTGGCCCTAGGGCTCTTGTAGCGCAGTGGGAATGTCCATACCTCTGAACCAGGAGGCCTGGGTTCACTTCCCATCTGATGCTAAAGTATGTAATAAATCCTCTGATTAGAAAATAACAGGGAGCCTGGCCTTGGAGCAGGAAGTTCTGGGTTCAAATCCCACTGCAGGACTTAAAGATTGCTGAAGGGACGTTGATTTCAAGGCCAAACAGAATGACTATGAACCAACTGACGGGTTTGAGGACAGGCAGGAGGATTGGGAGAGTCTCCCAGTCAAACAGGCTTGATGCACAGTGACGTCCCTAAAACTACAGCCTCTGATAACAGAGAATTGACCCATTCCCAAGAAAATCCAGCTGTGGAAACAGATGTAAGCACAGGTTTTGGGCTTCACACACCACTAGTCACAACGAGAAGAAAGATGTTCAGACCCAGAATGCGATACAGCACAGATAATAACAGATCAGGATACACTAGCTGCAACATTATCCACATTAACCGTCATCTAGATTCTACACACATGCTTCAAGGACTAGGAAGAGGCAGTTACCTTCACTGAACTACACCCCCCCACCTCCCCCCACTATCAATATCCTGGTATTTACCATTGACCAGAAATTCAACTTGACCAGCCATTTAGGTACAGCAGCTACAAGAGCAGGCCAGAGGCTGGGAATCTTACAGCAAGTAACTCAAATAACTCACTGCCTGTCTCCCCTCAAAGCCTGTCCACCATCTACAAGGCACAGGTCAGGAGTGTGATGGAATACTCCCCACTTGCCTGGATGGGAACAGCTCCAACAACTCTTGAGAAGCTTGACATCATCCAGGACAAAGCAGCTGCTTGATTGGCACTACATCCACAAACATCCACTCCCTCCACCACCGATGCTCAGTAGCAGCAGTGTGTACCACGTACAAGATGCATCACAGAAATTCACCAAAGATCCTTCCATATCTGTGGCCACTACCTACTAGAAGAACAAGGGCATCAAATACATGGAAACAACACCTCCTGCAAGTTCCTTTCCAAGCCATTCAAAATTCCGACTTGGAAACATATCACTGTTACTTCATTGTTGCTGGGTCACAATCCTAGAACCCCCTCGCTAGCTGTCTCTGTGGGTCTACCTACAGCACATGGACTGCAGTGGTTCAAGAAGGCAGCTCACCACCTCCTTCTTAAGGGCAATTAGGAATGGGCAATAAATGCTGGCCCAGCCAGTGACACCTCATGCTATAAGTGAACAAAACAAAACTGGCCTATCATTCCACCCCAACCCAACTTTAGTTGAAAACTGTTAAGCTTTATTTCATATTCCATTTGCACACCTGTTTGTCATTGCATTGCAATATCAAGCTGATAGACTCTATTACGATTGTGCAATCTAACTGCAAACTCCATTTTCAAGCCAGTTTTCTCCCCCTGGGGTAGATGAAAGTTGGTTTGAAACAAAAGGAAGGAACCATGAATCAGAGATTTTGGGGTGTGCTTTAACCTGTTTCATGTGTGCAAATTGCTTCCACATCTGTACTGACCTGTTCATGGCATGAACTGTCCCAATATGTAGAAAAAGATCCTGCGTTTAAGTAATCAAAACTTCAGAAAAAGTGGCACCTCCTTACATAAAACTAGGGAGAAGCTGCATATTGAGTGGACTATGACAGAGACCTCACAGCATCTTCAATGCTTTGAAGAACATTAAGAAGCATTGGCACAAGGAGACACAAAGTTTATCGTCCACTCTCATCTGGATTGAAATGCAAGAAGTCAACTTTAGAGAACAAACATCAATTTATACAGCGTGAAAAGAGATTGGTTGACTGTCAATTGTCTGCTACATTCCCATGGCAACAGCCTAACCAATCAGAGTTACCTTGCCTGGTCTGAATTTCATCAGCTAAGATTTGCAGTGAACACTTCTTTGTGTATCTCTGTCCCAACCATAGGCTAACCAATCAACATTCTCTTTCTTCGTGCTGCATAAATTGTCGTTACGTTTCTCAAGTTGGTTTCAGTCCTTTGACTTCATATCTCTTTTCAGCATTGTTTAAGTTCTGAGCTGCCAAGCAATTAACAATGAGAAAGTTGTGGATCATTTAAAAGTTGCATTGTACAGGCTACCTGGCACATCCACTGTTGGGACCCCTAACTCTCCAAACATCACAGTGCTATACACACTCCACAGCTCAAGATTTTGATCTAATTTAAAGAAATTCAAAACACTTCCTGTTTTCGAAGAAAACTGATGCCCCTTGTCAAAGGAAACCACAATTAAAATCTCTAAAGAGGAACTTTGTCTTCCTCATTCCTGCAATTTCTGCTTAAATATTGAAGGCTGGTCACATCAGGGAAACTGAGGGAGATTTCCTAAAACACAGCTGTGTTGCTACCATAAACTTTGTTTCTGCTGTGTGATTCAACTGATAGCTGCTGCCTCCACCCTGACATCTTGCTTTGTAATGGCCGAGAGGTTTAATGCAGAAGTTTATGTTTGGCGGGTCATGGTGATGGACCGGTTGTCAGCTTCACTACACAGGTGGGGAATATTGGAGGAAGGGACGAAGGGACAGAGAGAATCTTTGAGAAGGTGCATTCCTGTCCGTGGATGGAATGTTGAGAATAATTCATAGAATCTCTACAGTGCAGAAAGAGGCCATTTGGCCCATGAAGTCTGTACTGACCCTCCAAAGAACATCCTACCCAGACCCAGCACATCCCCGACCCTATCCCTGTAACCCCCCCATTTCTCATGGCTAACCCACCCAGCATACACATCCCCGGACACTATGGACAATTTAGCATGTCCAATCCACTTAACCTGCACATGTTGGGACTGTGGAAGGAAACCAGAGCACACGGAGGAAATCCATGCAGACAGGAAGAACGTCCAACCTCCACACAGACAGTTGTCCGAGGGTGGAATCGAACTTGTATCCCTGGTGCTGTGAGGCAGCAAAGTAATTCTTTGCACTCTCAAGACTACAAGCGCAGGATGAAAATCCTCGAACATGTGCATTCTCAATAGCAACGCCTCTAACGACTGTGTCCAATTGCCAAACAACCAATGAGTGCAAGACGAAAAATCAAGACAAAACATGTTTTTTTTTCAGGAATATTCAGTTCTGTATTACCAAATAACTATTTGACTATCTTATAATCCCTAGCTTGGGGCTCCCCTACAAGTGAAACCATTGGCTCTATGTCTACCCTTCCAAATTTTAGAGATATGAATGAGATTTACCCCTCAGCCTCATCGCTGTGCTGCAGCTCTCTGTGTTTACACACACAGCCCAGATTCTCACCAGCAGCATCTGGCCTTTCCAGTTGCTCAATATCGCACAGTTTGTCCTGGCAGCATCTGTGAAGGAAAAAACAGAGTTAATGTTTCGGGTCCGGTGACCCCGGACTCGAAACGTTAACTCTTTTTTTTTCCTTCACAGATGCTGCCAGACCTGCTGAGCTTTTCCAGCAACTTCTGTTCTTGTTCCTGATTTACAGCATCTGCAGTTATTTCATTTTTTAGACAGTTTGTCTTGTTTACCTTTCAAACTTCTCGCTGTTGTTGGTCTTTCCTTGCTGTATCACATGAACAAAGTCATGCGTTAAAATGAACGGCACACGCTCTCTGTTGATCCCAAACTTGCTCTTAAAGTTTCCAAGGAAGTGTCCAAAATCTATGTGGAAGAGCTGTGAGTGATAATAAAATGCATTCTTTAACACGAGGAAGGACTCCCTGAATAGAATTACAGAATATTGACTGATACAACTGATCATAGGAAATGCTTTGGTGGGGAATGTGGTGATTATATAAGAAGGCTCTTGCAGGTCACTATGGAACTGTGGCTACAGGAGAGGTGAAGGTCAGTTCAGGCGGCTGGGACACTGAGCATGAAGGAAGATTTTCTCCATTTTGCTAATAACAACAAAATTGTCTGGGCAGGAGAGCCATCTGATTGACCCTTTCTAATCTTGCATCTGTTTCTCCATGAACTATGGAACCAACATTCCTCGTCCCAACGGGCTTCTGTTAATACACACCATGTTTTGCTATTCGACCACACTACCGGTGAGGAAGAACAAACGTGCATTTGTGTAGCACCTTCCTCGTCCGTTGGGGGCTCCCAAATCACTTCAATGACAATCAGTTGTTGAAGCCAGTACTTTTTCCCACACGCCAGCCAAATTATGCAAATAAGGATCCCCAAAACCGCACACATGGCAAAGGGCCAATTCATCTGTTTTTGTTTCCTGGTAGACCGAAGGCAAATTGTTCTTTGCAGGTCGTCAGTCACCGTTCCTGACGTGGAAATATATCACGGTTCCTTCAATGTTGCTGGGTCCAAATCTTGGAATTCCCTCCCAAAGGGCATTGTGAGTCTACCTACAGCACATGGACTACAGTGGTGCAAGAAGGCAGCCTGTAAAGGAGCAACCAGGGATGGACGATAAATGCTGACCCAGCCAGTGACATCCACATCCTAGAAGCAAGTACATGGTTTAAAAAGAAAGTCACACGGATGCATTTACATCACCCTGGGCCCCCAAGGCCTATTTAAAATATTACCTGAAATGCAGACCCCCAGACAATGCAGCACTGGTGTAGGGTCACATTGCACCATCCAACCAGGTGATTTGCTTGTTCTCAGGAGCATGGTTCGAATCCACCAGCTGCTGGTTTAGAGCTTGGATCGCCATCAGTAATCAGTCTCCGATCACTCGTGATCACCAGCTTGGGCTGATGGGGACTGTGCTAGGGGCTGGATTGCAGGGAGGTTGTAGGTAAGGGGTTGAGTTGAGAGGGTAAGTTTATGAGGAGATATGAGTAGACTGGGACTATACTCATTGGAATTTAGAAGAATGGGGGGTGATCTTATAGAAACATAGAAAATTATGAAGGGAACAGGTAAGATAGAAGCAGAGAGGATAGTTCCACTGGCAGGTGAAACCAGAACTAGGGGGCCATAGCCTCAAAATAAGGGGGTGCGGATTTAGGACTGAGTTGAAGAGGAGCTTCTTCAACCAAAGGATTGTGAATCTGTGGAATTCCCTGCCTAGTGACGCAGTTGAGGCTACCTTGTTGAATGTTTCTAAGGCAAAGATAGATAGATTTTTGAACAATAAAGGAATTAAGGGTTACGGTGAGCAGGCGGGTGAGTGGAGCTGAGTCCTCGAAAAGATCAGCCACGATCTTCTTGGATGGCAGAGTAGGCTCGAAGGGGCAGATGGCCTACTCCTTCTCCTGTTCCTTATGTTCGAATGTTCTTATTTGTCCCTTCCTCTCCGATACTGAAATCAATTACACCTACCCTAACAAAAAAGAAATCTCTCTGCACACGTTTCTATTTAGGAGTTCACTTATTCCGGTGTGAGGCACCTGTTGATCACTACAGGTTATGGAGCTCAGGCAGGATGGATGCAGAGACTTTACAACATTCACAATTCCTGGGATGGGACAAAAGGGAAATTGGCCAAGCTTCCCAATGCCAACCCAGTGACACCAGCTTGGAATTCCACACTTAGCCTTCGTTTTAATCCAAACAATGCAAACACAGTCCTACCTGTCCATTTTCCCTGATCATAATGTTGTCACTGTGTCGGTCTCCAATTCCGAGCACGTAAGTAGCTACACAGTAGCCAGCACACGAGAGAGTGAACTCCTCAATGGCTCGATCTAGTGCTTCCCTGAAAAGGTGAAGAGCGAAGCAATATGAGACGTCGCTGGGAAGTCATTCGGCAATTCCCAGATTTCCAAACAAAGCATAGCCTACCCATTTAACATCAGCTCTGTTAGAGCAACAGGCCAGTTCATGTCAAGTTGCCGGCAGTTCAACGAAGACAGCAAAACTCAGGCCGAAAATTCAGATTGTTAGTGCAAGACACCAGCTCATTCTCCCAGAAGGAACAACTGTGGCAATCAATGTGGCATTTTTACACATTCACCCAATTAGAATGATGGGGCTAGACTCCAGAGTGAGCCGTGGGAAAAAAAAATACAGCAACAGGATAAACTACCATCAGCTTCAAGCCTCGATGAAAGATCAAAAATGGGAGAGGAAAATAAAGTATTTTTAAAAAATTGGAGGCAATGAGAGGAGAAACATACAAGGAGTGGTTAGGACTTTGGAAGGGACTACCCAGTAAAGGAGGTGCAAGTGGATGAAGCAGTCAGATTTAAAAGGGAAAAACCAAAGATGCTGGAAATCAGAAACAAGAACAGAAATTGGTGGAAAAACTCAGCAGGTTTGTGGAGAGAAAGCAGAGTGAATGTTGCGGGTCCAGTGAGCCCAAGTTCTGAAGAAAGGTCACTGGACCTGAAACATTAACTCTGTTTTTCTTTCTCCACAGATGCTGCCAGACCTGCTGAGTTTCTCCAGCAATTTCTGGATTCAAAAGGAAATTGAATAAATTGAAGGAGACAGGTTGAGGGGCTTCAGGGAGTGAATGAGGTCACCAGACTAACTGATTACTCTTCAGCAGAGCATTCACAGACTTGATGGGCCAAACGGTGTACTGTACTGTAATATTCCAATGATTCTAAAAAAACAATTGGGCTGTGTTAGGAATAATGTGCTCCTGATATTACAATTCTCTCGAATAATATTTTAACAATGGTTAAGAAGGAGAGCACTGTTTGATTAAAGTAGAATATTAGGCTTCAAACTGTCCCTTTCCCAGTCCACACTCTACCAGAGGAACATAGGACATAGGAGCAGGAATAGGCCATTCTGCCCATTGAGTTTGCTGCACCATCGTAGGTTGTGGCTGAGCATTTAACTCCATTTTCCTGCACTAATGTCATATCCCTTGACGTCGTTAGCATCTAGAAACCTATTGATCTCCATCTTGCACATCCTCACTACAACTCTCAGAGGTAAAGAATTTCAAAGATTCACCAGCCTCTGAGTGAAGAATTTCCTCTTCATCCCTGTCCTAAATGGCCTACCCCTTACTCTAAGTGGGTCTTGTGATTCTGGACCAACTTCCCACCTTCAAGCCGGGGCAAACATCCCATTGAACTCTATAACAATTTTGTAAGTTTCAATGAGATCATCTCCTGCAGGTAGCTCAGTGGTTAGCACTGCTGCCTCACAGCACCAGGGATCCCAGTTTGATTCCACCCTCGGGCAACTGTCTTTGTTGAGACTGCGCATTCTCCTCGTGTCCGTGTGGGTTTCCTCCCACAGTCCAAAGATGTGCAGGTTAAGTGGACTGGCCATGCTAAATTACCCTATAGTGTCTATGGCTGTGTAGACTAGATAGATATCCATGGGAAATGCCGGGTTACAGGACAAGGTAGGGAGTGGGTCTGGGTGTGATGTTCTTCGAAGGGTTGGTATGAACTCGATGGCCTGAATGGCCTGCTTCCACACTCTAGGGATTCTATGTTTCTTTAAAACTTGAGCTAATGCTGGGCCCAGTCTCCTCACTTCTCCTCATAATCACACTCCCTCAGGGACCCATCATTCACCAAACCCCATTAAAGTAAAATACTACAGGGTGAGTTCATAGAACGCAAAAACGTTACTTAGTCTGTTCAGAAGAAACAAGCATGGATGGGTGTTGGCAACGAGAATGGCACAGGTGTTGCTCTCTAATGTTATTGGGCAAAACGCAAACTTTGGATCTTGATAGCTCTCGTTTCCTCACTGCAGACAGTTAAACCACAGAGTAGAAAATATCAAACGGCAGCACTTGGAAATTTATTACCAACTGTTTCAGTGGAAAACAGCAGCACAGCCAGGGCCCACACTGCACACAGTGAGGGTTGTGCCATCTGATATTAAACCCGTGTAGGTACGTCACAACCACTCACTGTTTGCATCATATCTGAGAAACACATTCAAACAGAGAGAAATGTCAGCCAACTGTCATGGGATAGTGGCCACAGAAATGCCTCCCCTGTACTTCAGAGAGATTACGCTGAGTGCTTTGAAAAGCAAACTGATAAAGCCCTCCTGCAAATTATGAGGAGTAAACTTTCAAGAATTCTAAATATTCCAAACAGTCAGGGAAACAATTCAAGCATTGCTCAGCTACACCGAAAAAATTCTCTGAAAGGCAAGTTAAAATCAGCTTGACAGCTGTGCTCGCTCTTTATCCAAATGACGAGTGTTTCATTAACGTTAAACTGTGTGTCTTTGAGTGGTATTTCATGAATTAAAGCACCTTGAATAGACGCTTAGTGTTGGCCCTGTTCCAGTCTCCTCAATAAGGTCTATATCGTGCTAAGACAAACTTGTATTTATATAGTGCTGTTAAAATCATTAAACATCCCCAAGCGCTTCACAGAGGAATCATAAAACAAAAATTGAAACTGGGTCACTTAAGGGGATGTTCAGTCAGATGTCTAAAAGCTCAGTTAAAGAGGTAGGCCTTAAGGAGCTTCTTAAATGAGCAAAATGAGGCAGGGAGGCAGAGGTGGAGGCAATGTGATTGAGGTCTCGAAAGGTGGAATAATTAAAACCTGAGATGGACTGGAGACTAGAGTTAGGGGAGTGTATATATCTCAGAAGGTTGTATCGGCTGGAAGAGGTGACAGAGGGAGGGTGGAGCAGGAGAAGGTTGCAGAGATAGGGTGGGGCACAGGGGCAGGAGGAGGTTACAAAGATAGGGAGGAGCACAGGGGCAGGAGGAGGTTACAGAGGTAGGAAGGGCACAGGGGCAGAAGGAAGTTACAGGGATAGGGAAGGGTAGGGGCTGGAAAGGTTACAGAGATAGGGAGGGGTGTAAGGGCTGGAAGGAGGTTACAGAGATAGGGAGGGGTGTTGGGGCTGAAGGAGGTTACAGTGATAGGGAGGGGTGTAGGGGCTGAAAGAGATTACAGAGATAGGGAGGGGTGTAGGGGCTGAAGGAGGTTACAGAGATAGGGAGGCGTGTAGGGGCTGAGGGAGGTTACAGAGATAGGGAGGGGTGTAGGGGCTGAAGGAGATTACAGAGCTAGGGAGGGGTGTTGGGGCTGAAGGAGGTTACAGAGACAGGGAGGGGTGTAGGGGCTGAAGGAGGTTACAGAGATAGGGAGGGGTGTAGGGGC